AGCAGTCATAGAATGCCAAATAAGAGTCCTTTATTTAAGCCACTGGCCGAGAGCAGGCTCTTGCCACAAAGAATTCCTGGCACCAAAGCAGCCGAGGTGCAGTGGTTCATAAAGGCCTAAACCACAAAACCCACAATGGCATCCTGTAAGGTATAGGTCAGGGGAATCTTCTAAGATGTTTTTGTCAGGACATGGCAGTTATTTTGGTTATACATTCAGCAGCTATCTTGGTTACACATCTGGGCCATGGTAGGGATAAAGGAAACCTCCAATGTCCTACCAATGTGGATGCAGTTATCAGGGGCTAGGGGCTGAGGCTGAAAGCATGCCTGAGCAGACACCAAATGGAGTCAGAGTAACATTAGGACAGGAGGGCTCCATCACCTCACTTCAATGAACACCCTAAATAAATAAATGGATTTTTTTTTTTAAAAAAAGAATAACACATATCTTCCCAGGGCTGCAGAGGTAGAAGTCAAAATCCACTCTTTTGAGCAGGAGGCTTCAATAAAGCCATGATTCCTTTACTTTTTCATATGACATTCAAATCTTGAGGTGTTAATCCCTCAATTAACCAGTTGAGAATAAGATCATCTCCACAATTTAAAGCCAAACTTGAAGCAAGCTTTAATTAAATACTGGCCAGATGAATGGGGTCTGGCCAGGTCCATATCCAGGTTCCCGGGAAATTGTTGCTGGTCCTGAGTCGTGGTTTGCAGCAGCTTAAGTATTTTCCATCAGGTCCAATCAGGGATAAATATATATCCTGACGTATTTCCTCCCTGTGAACCTCCCGCCCACATGTGATCAAGCATATGTGGTACAGACGGGTCAAACAAACTTGTTTAGGGGAGTGAAAACATGTGGCTTGTTATGTCCCATAAAAAATAGTCTCCAGCATTTCAGGAACTATCTGTCCTTGGGCAAGGGGCTTGCAGATCAGAGGCATTTTTGTTTTATGGATCTCTAAGGGATAGTAATTAAAACTTAAAATGTAACTTTGGCTCTCACAGAGGAACAATTGTGATGCTTTGCTTTCTAGTATTACCAGGTAAATGGAAGGTGGGGTCCAAAGTGAATTATGATGATGGGATCTGTTAGGTTGAAACCTCCTGCTTGATCCAGAAGGCCCCATTCTTGTCTCTCTCTTTCCAAACTGTGCCCTCTCAGAGATTCTCCAACAAAGAGAAGGCACCAAAAAGCCCAGCTTGTGGGGGACACATCATCACCCCCTCACCTACAACCTATATAAGCTCCTTGCTTTAGTTTGTCTTCTAAAGCCTCAATCTCTGGGACTTGAGAACTCATGTTGTACCCATTTCTCAAAACTCCCAGAGACCACCAAGGAGCTGGTTTCTGGTGCAAGCACATAAGGGTCCTTTTATTCAGGTTCAACCTGGGCCACTGCATGGCAGATGGAAGGAAATGTGGTGGCGGCCACGAGCCTAGGGATTAGAGTTTTTATAGGGAAAAACCACAAGCCAGGAACTGGCAGCTTGGGATTGGGTAGAAGGGATATGGGACAAGGTGATTTTTTGAAACTATGGGTCTAGACTTTGGGCAGGAAACCACATTTGAAACCACTGGGTTAGACTTTTGGCTGGGAACCACAACCCGGCTGAACAGAATTATCTGGACTGCTTAGCAGAATTATCTAGATATCTTCAAGGGCCATATTACAAGTTGTTTATGTCCTGACACTATCTCTTGTTTTTTAGTATCTTATCTTAGCATAAATAACTTGAGCTAACTTTCTTTCTCACTGTTTGTATCCACTCTCTGTGTAAACACCTTAAAGCTTAAGCACTATTTATCTGAATTTTTCTCGGCACCCTCTTTGCAGCCCATGTATGCCCCACACAGAACCATTTCAGTTAATAAACTTATCAATTGACAACTCTGAACCTATTTTCCTAGAATGTCAATGAGCGTTATAGTTGGCCATCTTGCCTCTATGCCAAGGAGTTTCCTTTTGACCCAGCATTTCAGCCTTTTCTGAACAGGGAACATGGGATGACATATTCTCTTCTGGAACTGCTTTGAGCTGGCACTGGGGCACTGTTGTCAGGACCCCGAAAAGGTTGAAAGGCTGGTCAAAGGGGTATCTGTCAGAAGCATGTGTCTCTCTGACCCAGTAGAGACAGGGAACAATCACGTTGGCTGGGCTGGTCCACGTCAGCTTTTAGCAAGTCCGGAGCTCTTAGTTGTCTGGAGCAGTGTAGTCAGCAGCTGAAGCTTGGAGGTGTCAAGTCTAGACCTTCACACCCACCCGGGAGTTGTTTTGCTCAAATAAACCTGTTGTTATATTTCTTCAATTTGGCTTGATCTGGCTTATTGCATTGGTGGAGAAACCTATTATCGAGGTTACAGAAATCCTATTAGGGTCCTTCATCAGTGGCCTCCAAACCTACTAATGTTTTCTAGCTACTTTAACAAAGCCGAATAGGGTTTCTATTGTTGTGAACACCATGACCAAAGCAATTGGGGGAAGAAAGGGTTTATTTGGCTTACACTTCCTTATCATTGATCAGCATCAAGGAAGTCAGAACAGGAACTCAGAACAGGGCAGGAACCTGGAGGCAGGAGCTGATGCAGAGGCGGTTGAGGGCTGCTTACTACTGTTTACTGCTGGATCTTTTTTTTTTTTTTTTTTTTTCTTGAGACAGGGTTTCTCTGCTTACTACTGTTTACTGCTGGATCTTTTTTTTTTTTTTTTTCTTGAGACAGGGTTTCTCCATAGCTTTGGAGCCTGTCTTGGAACTCACTCTGTAGACCAGTCTGGCCTCGAACTCACAGAGATCCACCTGCCCCTGCCTCCCGAGGGCTGGGATTAAAGGCGTGTGCCACCACCGCCAGGCATACAGCCTGCTCTTCTTGGAGGCAATTTCTCAGTTGAGGTTCTCTCCTTTCAGATAACTCTAGTCAAGTTGACATGAAGCTATCCATCACAAATACTTAATGCACAAATACAAATACTCATCATTGGGTGGTTTTTGTTTTAAAATTTCTGGCCAGGCCCGGTGCCACGCATCTTTAATCCCCAGCTCTCTAGAGGCAGGAGTATTTCCATCAGTTCCAGGCCACCCAGGGCTGCACACTGAGACTGCTCTCAAATGCTAGAAACAGGTTCAGGGTGGCAAAGAAAGAGGCCCCCATGCTAACTGAAGTGACTGGGTAAACTTGAGTCTTCATCAAGAGCACACCCGTTGAGACAGGAAGTGGGTTTGATCTCTATTCTAACTCAGATGGTCACCTGTGTCTTTCCCCATTGGTTGGGGGCTGACCTCACAGTCTTAACTCAAGTGGCTATTCTGAAAAGAACTGGCGCACAGGAAATGAAGGAAGAGCGGGGAGGGGAGCCACAGCCTCCCGCCATCAGCCTCCTGAAATACCATACCATTTCTGACTTCAACTGGGCGGGAAGATTAAAGCATTTGTCTAAAAGTCTTACGAGGTGGGAAAGAAAAAAAAAAAAGATTTAAATTCCTTGCTCTTGTATAGGGAATAGGAACTGACATGGCTGCTTCATGATAATTTTTTTTTTTTCTTTAATTGTGGATAAGGGATGAAATATCCAGAAGCATCTGGAAGAGTCCAGAGCGGAGAAAAAAGAAGCGGTCTGGAAATGGCCAGGGCTATCTGTGAGAAGTGAGAGAACAGTGGAGAGACAGTGAGAGATAGCAACAGATAGCAGGCAGCGGGGGAGGCCTTGGTGTTATAAAGAGTGGTGCTCCGGGACAGCCTGGGGGCTTAGCATACTTCAGAATAGGGACTGTGCTGTAGGCTAGCTTGGACTTGATATTCAGCCACAGA